CCCCCCAATATAACAGTGTACATCTGAGGAGGATGGGGGTGATATTGTACCCCCCCGGGGGCAACATTTTCTCTGTATTATAACATACTTTCATTCTAGTCTATAGGTGAGGGGGGGTGGGGGGTCCGCCTCTCCCTAAGCACTGTTGGGGTGACAGTTCCTCTGTCCCGGTGGCCCCTCACTGGGCACTGTAATGTTAATGTCAGCCCTTCCCCCAGTCACTGTAGGGTTAATGTTGGGGTGTCAGCTCCTCTCCCATTAACTTTAGGGTTTATTTGGGTTTCATCCCATTCACTGCGTTAATGTTGGGTGTCAGACCAGTGTAGGGTTAATAGTGGGGTGTCAGCCCTTCCCCGGGGTGCTTTAGGGTTACTGGTGGGCTGCCAGATCCTCCCCTGTGTGATGAAAGTTTAATGGTGGGGTGTCAGCCCCTCACCTGGTGTTGTAGGGCTAGTGGTTTGTCAGCCCCTCCCTGGGTGGTGTTGGGATAATGATGGGGGTGTCAGTCCCTCCTCTGGGTGGTGTTGGGATAATGATGGGGGTGTGAGTCCCTCCTCTGGGTGGTGTTGGGATCATAATGGGGGTGTCAGCCCCTGCACTGTTGGGGTGACAGTTCCTCTGTCCCGGTGGCCCCTCACTGGGCACTGTAATGTTAATGTCAGCCCTTCCCCCAGTCACTGTAGGGTTAATGTTGGGGTGTCAGCTCCTCTCCCATTAACTTTAGGGTTTATTTGGGTTTCATCCCATTCACTGCGTTAATGTTGGGTGTCAGACCAGTGTAGGGTTAATAGTGGGGTGTCAGCCCTTCCCCGGGGTGCTTTAGGGTTACTGGTGGGCTGCCAGATCCTCCCCTGTGTGATGAAAGTTTAATGGTGGGGTGTCAGCCCCTCACCTGGTGTTGTAGGGCTAGTGGTTTGTCAGCCCCTCCCTGGGTGGTGTTGGGATAATGATGGGGGTGTCAGTCCCTCCTCTGGGTGGTGTTGGGATAATGATGGGGGTGTCAGTCCCTCCTCTGGGTGGTGTTGGGATAATGATGGGGGTGTGAGTCCCTCCTCTGGGTGGTGTTGGGATCATAATGGGGGTGTCAGCCCCTCCTCTGGGTGGTGTTGGGATAATGATGGGGTGTCAGTCCCTCCTCTGGGTGGTGTTGGGATAATGATGGGGGTGTCAGTCCCTCCTCTGGGTTTATGTTGGGCTAATGATGGGGTGTCAGCCCCCTCCTGGGGTGCTGTTGGGATCATGATGGGGTGTCACCCTCTCCTCTGGGCTACGTAGTGTACACGGTGGGGTGTCAGCCCCCTAGTATTGTATGATGATGTGAGTACCCCCCCCCCCACACGGTTTCCTTGTGGGGTCTTCCGGCAGGTGCGATGATTGGCTCTCGAGGGATGCAGCGGTGACCCCGTACCTGGAGGAGGATTGAATCGGGAGTGTCACCATGGTGGAGAAGGCTCGCTGTCCCGTGCAGAGGGACACAGTGTACCGCTGGTTCTCCGAACTCAGCTCCTGGCAACGGATCGAGTTCCTGTGCGGCTTGCTGGACCTGGGCCTGCCGCTGGAGCTGCGCTTCCTGGGCTCCTGCCTGGAGGATCTGGCCCGCAAGGACTACCACTCACTGCGCGACTCGGAGATCAAAGCAAACAACTCGGCCGATCTGGCCGCCCTCACGAACCTGAGCGACGAGGTGGTCCGCAGCAAGCTGCTGGTTTCCCTGGCCCTGTTATCCTCGGAGAATCGGGAGGCGGCTGGGGTGCTGTGCCGGACCCTCACTCACATGGACTCCATCATCAACAACCTGGGCCTACAACTGAACGATGGACGTACTGGGGACGAGTTCCTGCTGCTCTTCACCATGGCCACCAATCACCCGGCCTTCAGCTTCCACCAGAAGCAGCTGCTCAGGAAGGAGCTGGCACACCTCCAGGGCAGGCATGGGGCTACCGGGCACGGCGTGCCCACCGCCACCACCACCACTGTCACCAGCAGCAAGGGCTCCTCCATATGCCCCAAGGTAAGATTGCTTGGAGCCCATGGTTTACCGTATGGTATGGGACATTCTGACTCCTGGTTCCCTTGGTGCCCCCCATTGTCTACATCAGGGATGTCCAAACTCCGGCCCCCCAGCTGTGGGTGAAACTACAAATCCAATGAAGCATCTCTCTCCGGGAGTCATGTCTGTGAGAATCTTGCAAAGCCTCATGGGACTCGCAGTTCCACCACAGCTGAAGGGCCGCAGTTTGGGCATCCCTAGTCTACATGGTATAGGACATTCTGACTTGTTTCCCAGGTGGCCCCTATCATCTGGGTGGTATGGGAAAATCTGACTCCTGGTTGCCTTGGTGCCCCCCATTGTCTACGTGGTAGAGGACATTCTGATTCCTGGTTGCCTTAGTGCCCCCCATTGTCTACGTGGTAGAGGACATTCTGATTCCTGGTTGCCTTAGTGCCCCCCATTGTCTACGTGGTAGAGGACATTCTGATTCCTGGTTGCCTTGGTGCCCCCCATTGTCTACGTGGTATAGGACATTCTGATTCCTGGTTGCCTTGGTGCCCCCATTGTCTACGTGGTAGAGGACATTCTGATTCCTGGTTGCCTTGGTGCCCCCCATTGTCTACGTGGTATAGGACATTCTGATTCCTGGTTGCCTTGGTGCCCCCATTGTCTACGTGGTATGGGACATTCTGATTCCTGGTTGCCCAGGTGGCCTTGACCTACTGCTCAGCATGAGACCTCCTGGCCTATGTGACTGTCCCAATGCCCTGACTTTACATCTTGGCATAAGCTCTCCAGACATATTGCCCCTCAGTTACTATATGGCATGAGATCTCCAAAATCCAGGTTGTCCTGATGTTCCCTATTCACTGGTTGCCCAAATTGTCCCAGATGGTGTCTCTGTTCTATGGAATGAGCTCTCCTGGCCAACTCCCAATACTGAAGGGGCACTGCTCTCTTGTTGCTTTGTACGAGTGCCCGGCTGGCAGGGGGTTCCTCTCCTTTTACTGTCCGGTATATTCTACAGTTGCTTCTGACCTGAAATCAGGTGACACTTGTGCTGCCAGACATGGTCTTAGTTAGTGAGAACACCCGATGGGTTTGCTGCATGGCACGAGCTCCTGGTATGTCAGAGTTGGCTGTGCCGGGGTTCTGCACGGAGGGTACCAAGGTTTTGTTGTATGATATGAAGGTACATGTGAGATCTTAATGTACACAGCACTTTACATACTGCACATTCACATCAGTCACTGCAACCAAGGAGCTTACAATCTAAGGGTCCCTATCGCACATACCTAAAGGGCCAATCCAGACGGGACAGTAAACCTTCCAACATGTCTTTGGAGCCATCCGCTGGCCAATTCAACACCCACTGCAGTTGCCAGAAGAGATACGCCAGTCTGGAGAGCGATGGGATATCGGTAATTAGAGGTGCACCGAAATGGAAATTTAAAAACCGAAACGAAACCGAAATAAAAAAAAGTCAGGCCGGAACCGATACCGAAAATGTTTTTTATTTTTTCAATTTTTTAAAATATTTTATTTTTTATAAACTTTTTCATTTTTT